GATGTGGAGCAATGGATTCAAACTACAGGAAAAGAGATTCCACCTGAACATTAGGAAGAAATTCCTGACAGTGAGAGCTGTTTGACAGTGGAAGACACTCCCTTGGAAGTAGTGGAGTCTCCATCTTTGGAAGTCTTTAAAGAGAGGCTGGATGGCCATCTCTTTGGGGTGATTTGATAGTGTCTTCCTGCACGGCAAGGGGTTGGACTGGATGGGCCTTGGCAAGGTTCCCCAAGATATCCTTGCAAAAAACTATTAAAATGCTAGACAATATGACTATTAGGTGGATTTGTAATTGATTGACTGCCTGAACCCAAAGGGTACTCAACAATGGCTCCTCTTTATCCTGGAGAGAAGTGACTAGTGAGGCACCACAGGCTTCTATCCTGGGCCCAGTGCTATTCAGTGCCACTTAGATGAGGGGATAGAGGGCATGCTTATCAAATTTGCAGAAGACACTAAATTAAGAGGGGTTGCTAATACCTCAGAGGACTGGATCAGAATTTAAAATGACCTTAACAGATCAGAAAGCTGGGCCGAAACTAACAAAATAAATTTCAGCAGGGAGAAATGTAGGATCCTACACTTGGGCAGTATAAATTAAATAAATATAGGATGGGTGACACAGTGCTTGATGGCAGTACAAGCGAAAGGGATCTAACAGTGGACAACATGCTTAACATGAGTCAGTAATGTGATGTGGCAACTAAGGGGGGTTGCAGACTGCCAGAAATAGTGCAAATTGAGTCCACTTTAAGGGTTATGGTTAGGGAATCATGGGAACTGTATTTTATTGTGGCACCAGAGCTCTCTGACAGAGAAGGCTCAATGTCTCAGAAAAAAACCCAATTCCCATGATTCCCTAGCACTAACACTAACCCTAAAAGTGGACTCAATTTGCACTATTTCTGGCAGTCTGCAACCCCCCTAAGAAAGCCAATGCAGTTCTAGTCTGCATCAATAGGAGTACAGTTATCCCTTCATATCCGCAGGGGTCCCATTCTGGACACACATACCCCATGGATGGCAAATTCCCCAGGACCTCAAGTCTCATTCTTCTCAATAGTCATGCAACATGCACACACCACCGTTGAGGAGAACAGGGCAGGGCATTCCAAGGATGCTCCAGGCCAGAGATGGCAAGCCCACAGATAGGAAGAGCCAACTGTATAGTGTCTAAATCAAGAAAGTACATAATAGTACCACTCTATTCCGTTTTGGTCAGACCTCACCTGCAATATGTGTCCAGTTCTGGGCACCAGAATTCAAGAAGGATGTAGGAAAGCTGGAGAGTATCCAGAGGAGGGTAACCAAAATAGTAAAAGTTCTGGAAATCATGCCCTATGAGGAGTGACGTAGAGAGCTGGGTATGTTTAGCCTGGAGAAGAGAAGGTTTATGGGTGATGTCATAGCTATGTTTATGAGGTATGACCTCATAAAGGATGGAGACATCTTGGATCTCAGAAAAAGTAACTCTTTGTATTGTTAATGGAATTCAAATTTTATTTCCTGCTTTATTCTTAGTGCCACATGGCCAGAAGGAGGAGAGGCCTGCTTGCATAGACATCCCTTCACACAACAACACACTAACAACACTGAGGACCTTATCACACGGGGCTCAATGCAGACAGAATCTAAACGAAATCCCGACCTAATACGTATTATTTTTCTGTGTGTTCACGCGACGTCGCACAGAACCCCGACAGAACCCCAACAAAATGCGTGAAGATCCGAGATCTTTTGAATTTCGGTTTCTTCAGGAATTACAATTGTGCGACGGAAATCATATCACTTTTGCTGTAATGTCTGATCACCCAATATGTATTGTGGAGCATTTCCCC